GGCAATGCTCTTTCCCTCTCCAGGCACCAATTTTCCTTCCATACAGTAAGAGCTGGGCTACATACCTCAAAGGTCCACTCAGGTTCTGATACTCTGATGACCAGCTTCCAATTTCTCACCTCTATTTCTTCTAACTACTTCCCAATATACACATTAAAAATGGATTCAGAATTTTAGTTCCAAACATCAAGGTAATTTAATTTCATAGCTCCATACAGTATTACAATTGTGTATTTTTACATCCTATGTAAATTTGCTGAAGAAGCAACCCCTCAACTCCTGTTGCCGGAAACATTGTTACCCCCTAAAGTTCCTTCCTCTACCTATGGAAGTCCTTGGGCATCAGAGGGCTGCTTAGGTACTAAGTGTATTTGACTTCTTGGAGACCATCACTCCTCTTTCGTACTCCCATTATCCTTTCCATATTGCAACTGGACTAACCTGTTCTTCGAACAAGGCATTCACTTGTAACATTCCTAGACTTTCTCATTCCTGTTATTGATGTATCTTGAATCCCAAGTCCTCCCCATTATACATGCAGAGGTACAGGTCCCAAGTGAATTCAAACACTACCTCATCTATGCAGCCCTCCCTGACATTTCCCTAAAAAGGTACAAGGTACAATGTTGATATTCCTATTCATTATCTCCAAACAACTTCAACACCTGGTGAATCATGTGCTGACTTCAAATAGCACATTGAAGCCCTCCTTCTGTGTCCCTTTGAATTGTTTATGTGCTTGTCTCTTCTAAGACTAGGAATTTCTCTAGAGTAAGGAGGTGTGGGAAACCCTGGTGGCATAGTGGTTAAGAGTTTGGCTGCTAACCACAAGGTCAGCAGTTCAAATCCAGCAGGCACTCCTTGGAAACCCTATGGGGTGGTTCTACCCTGTCCTATAGGGTTGCTATGAGTAGGAAATGACTGGACAGCAATGGGTTTGGTTTTTGGAAGGAGGTGTGGGCACTAACCTTTATATTTCCAATGCCTAATCCACAGTAGAACCTCAATGTTAGTTGAATGAATAAATGAATGAGTGGAAATAAGTCATGGTTCTCAAATAAAATTATAGATAAATAAGGGAACAGAACTAAAATTGGGAAATTTGGGAGTGGGAGATGCTCCTTCAGGAAAAAAAAGAGGAAAATGTCAGTAAAAGCTATTTTCAAGAGCTCCAGCCTTTTCCAGAGTTGTTACATGAAGGTATTAGAGCATGAACTGAACAAAATCTCCACATATATGGTCATTTTCCCCTAGAGCCAGGAGTCAAAACAAC